TATGGATGATATATTTATCAGCAAATACAACTGTATCTTTTATGGACGAATAGTGATCAAGTATAACTGTACTCTTTATGGAATGATATTGATCGCTGTAAATTACAGTTCCACGACGTGGAACATATGAGGGCCTTGTAAGGCTCGTGTTTTCTAAGAGTTAGCGTGTTTACGAAACACGTTAGGAATGTCTAAATGTGATATTCTTAAAGGGGAGTTTGGTGCAGGGAGCTTCCTTAGTTTGATTCAAACGGCCTTGATCTTGGATGCTTGTTAAGCGTTTAGTTCCCTCACCACTAACAGAAACACTACCTAACTGCTAAAGGCTGATCAGGTTGATCTAATGCTTTAATAATGGGGAAGTTCATAGATCACTGATCAAGGATCAGTATGTGGCGGGTTCGACCTAGAATTCTATACTGTTGGGGTGCCAGTCAGAGTTAAAGATGACAACGTAAGATAAAATAAAAAAGAACAAAAATAAGTTTAGTTAAACCCACCACAAAAAAATAATAACCAGGCAGATCAAACAGCAATAAACCACAAAAAGCCAAATCAACACAAACCAAGCAAATGCGATTTTCCAAAATAATATATACTTTTCACAAATTATATAATGCCCACAGTGCAAAAGAAAGAAGAAGAAGGGATGCAGCGTGAAGTAAGGCCTCAAAGTCTGTCTGTTATAATCACAGTTCAAGGTCATTGTGGAAAAATCCCCCTTTCCAAGTATTTCACAGGCACATATCCAACAAGTCAGTCCATTGTATATGCGCCACCACAAAACAACCACTCAAAAAAAAACCTCCGCTCCGGGTTTTAACCGCGGAACTTTCCCAACACAAATAAAAAGGACATAAACTCAATAACCAAGCGTCACAAAACAAAACAACACAAACAAAACAACAATGGCAGCAGCCGGGGACTCTGCCCGGTAACGAAGTTTAACGTTAAGTCCAGTCAAGTCCAGAAGTTCGGACTTTTTGCTCCCACTGGACCCACGGCCAAAACAAGGGAGACCACACAGATAATTAAAGTGTTTAAAACAAAATAAATGTAATTAATTAATATTCACACTTAACAAAGTAAGTAGTGTAGTGAGTGTGTGTGTGTATATGGGTGAGGTGTTGTGTATGGAAAAAGGCAAAGGATTTATCAAACCAAAGTCAGCAACAAACCCAGGACCTGCTGGCTGGAAGGAGAGCGAGAGAATTAACTGATCAACCTTTTGTTATGTCAAAAGTGACACAACTGTTAGGTGACTATCATATCTAGTACATTTCTTTAAGCAGCCTAGTTGGGATGGGGTCTATGAGACAGGTTGATGGCTTTGATGAAGATATTATTGAAGTTAACTGATAAATTAATTCAGTCATTTCAGGCTCTTCACTTTTCTGACGTACTTAAATCTTTACTTTCAGAAACCTGCTTCCATTTAGTTCTAGCTCGATTAAATTAGAATATTTAGCTGTGGGAATTACCTGATTTGATGAAGTTATAGTATAGTCACATTAGGAAATATATTATTAGACTACTTTAACTCTTGTTTTGGTTTTTGTTGTACCAATTAAAGTTAAAGAAAGCAACACTGTAAACACCCTATAGGTCAATGACCAAATCAACATAAAACCAGACAGAATCAGCAATTTAACTTTCAATGTCAGTTCGAATTTAATTTTTTTTTAGATGGTGCACTTAAGTTTTCCACTGCATGCATTGAGTTTAAGTGTAAATTAAAAAACAGTAATAAAATGAATATATATAAATAGATATATAGTTCACACATAGTGTTCACATAGTTTATTGTTCAATGCAGTGCAAAACCCTTGAATATATAGCTATATATCTATGTTTTTAAAAATATAAACATAAATGTGCTCACTGTTACACACATTATTTGTACTAAATATTGTTGTTTTTACAAAAACCGTAAGTTACATTCAACATAAATCATTGGACTTACTGCCATCAAACTACTGCAGATGAAACCTTTGTATATACAACATTATAAATTGTTGTAACATATCAAGTGATGCATGATGTCAGTTTGGTGAAAATTTTCTCCCAAAATATAATCAGTGCTTGGAAATTCTAACGGTACAACTCCTTAGTTGTAATTTAATTTGACCATTTTTAATGTACCTGCAGGGTTTCCTACTGAAGAAGGATTGGAGAGATCATCCTGAGCTGATCAGTGTTTCTGCTCTTCCCTCAGCCATCTTGGTTTTGAGTAATTTTTTTGCACTTACAACAGCTGGCCACTGGGTGGCAGGAATGATGCACTAGAGTCAACTGATGTACTGATGTACAACTCATATGCTGTAGCTGTCCACTGTAGTGAGCAGTATGTGTGAAAGGAGAATCATTTTTAAGGAAATAAAAGAGAAACTAAAATCTACAAAGGAAATGGATTACAGGTGTTGCTATTACAAAGTAATAAGTAAGGACCAACAGCTGTATGCAAATGTTTGGGCACCCCCCATGTTGGATCAATTAGGTTTATGTTATCTTATTTTAAATAAAATATTTGGGTGATTTTTTAATAGAAAATAGAATAGAAAAGAATATGTTGATGCATACCTTTTTCTAGCAGCTAAAAGTCTGTCAGTTCGAGTATTTGGGTTTTCTTCCAGTTCAGTAATATTCTTTGGCCGTCTTACATGTACAGCTCTTTTAAGATCTCCCCACAGATTTTCACTGATATTAAACTCTGGGACTGTGAGGCCTGTTCCATAGTTTGTAATTAGATCTTCTATTCTGCCCTCCCTGAACGTAGGATGTGTTTAGTTTGGCAGATAGCGAACAGTTCTCCAATAAGAGGCAAGTTTCCTTTCTTCAAAGGTTTATTTATGACTCTCAATTGAAGTTGACTGTAAAACTGAAATACATACAACAAAAGAAAATTAAAATATTATACTATCACATTATATGTATCTCTAAATATGAAAGGTGTTCAACACAGTTTGAAACAGCACTCGACACTGCCATTATACTTACAAATAGTAAAAAAAGTCCGCTAGCTTAATGCTAAC